AACAAAGTGTGACATGATCAGAAACCACTTCATCATCGTCATTTTCATTACAGAATGCCATCAAAATAAAATAAAATAAAAGATGTGAATTGGTGACTACTAAAGCATTTAGTGAATACTTTAACAAAAATAAAACAATAAAATGTAATAAAATTAAGCCTAATAAAAATTTATAAAAAAATATTTAAAACTATGATGATAGAATGATGATTAATATTAATTCTCAACCTAAACAAAACACTTGCACTCACATCAACAAACAGATACACACAAAATAAGAATGTCCTGTTTACTACCTTGTGATATATATATATATATATATATATACACACACATACATACACACATTTATATTTTTAACATTTTATTATATTACAGTATAGTAGTTATTTCAGATTTCATTTAAATTAATTAAATTAATGACTACATGCAGATAGTTGAGCCTGTAAAACAATGTCAAGTTTTAAAACACATCTCAACTAGTCATTCAGGAAATCCACCAAATTGTCGGACAATAGAAAAAATAAATAAATAAATAATAATATAATAATAAATACATACAAATATACACACATACATACAAATATACACACATACATACACATATATATATATATATATTTGGTCTTGAACATCTCTAGCAGAAATGCAAGAGAGAGCAAACCAAGCTCTTTGAACATATGAGCATCTAGTTGCCTAGCACCAGACATCAGTCCTCAGTCTCCCTCCAAACCATAGATGATCTCCACTGTCATCATTCCTGGTGACAAATGTCCTTAACTACATCACAAGAGCTGAAATCACACAGCTTTCAACACTTTCACAGAGCCAGCTCATCCCGCGCTCCTTTCAATCCTTCCCCCGGTTCTTCGATTGGCTTTCAGAAGAAATCTACTGTCCTGCAGAGCTTCTTCAATAAGATTATGCAACTATGACAATGACTCTGGCAGAAGCACACAGAGCCGTGCATGTGTCTGTCAGGCTGACGTGGTCTGATCACTTCCCATTTGCAATATTGATCAAAACACCACTGACCAATTTGTCCAAACCAGTGGCTGACAACAGCAGTCTAGGAAAGAACTACTGCACGAGTTAACAAATAAATTAAGCAAAGAAACAAGACGATCAGATCCAAGTGAAAAGCAGAAAATAATTTAGAAGAAATAAAATAAAATGAATACTTTAATAAATGAACAAAATGAATAATTGAAATGAAAAAAATGAAGAATTAAATAAATGCATAAATAAATAGAAAGTCAAGAAAACCTTGCTCCTCATTTTAGTTTGCTGTGCTTTGTCCTCAGACCATGGCTATTTTCATGAGACCAAAACAAAGAAAATCCCATAATATTGTAACTGTACTCATGAGACAGATATATTGGGTTCAATAACGGTCTTTGTTTATCTTAACAAGTGGGGCAAATCTCAACCAATACAAGCAGCATAGACACCCAACAATAAAACAAAAGAGACCAATGATTCACACATCTGTCTGTGCTAACGCATACGAATGATCCCTCATATTGTGAAGCATGTATGGCTTCTATCAATCAGACTTTTGTTTTTCCATCTAGCGAAAAATAACTGGGTGAAAAATCCCCTAAAAGTACATTTCAGTGAAGATTTCAGCCATATCTAGAGACTAGAACATCATAGAAAGACGTTTGACCACTGAGAACACCCTAGCAACCAGCTAGAAACCACCTAGCAACATACTAATAACCACCTAGAACAACCACTATAAAGAGATGTACACATGCAGAGGTCTCTGTATTAAAATATCTTCTTAAAATGAATATGGATTCAGTGTAAAAGTAAAGCTCATATTCAATATAGTTAAAGGGCTCCTATTATGCGTTTTCACTTTTTCAACTTTAGTTAGTCTGTAATGTTGCTGTTTGAGCATAAAAAAGATCTGCAAAGTTACAAAGCTCAAAGTCCACTTCAAAAGGAGATATTTTATTTAACAGAAATCACTTTTTAAAAACTACAACGAACGACTTGTTTTTTCCGGGATTTGTGATATCACAAAGATCGACGAATGGGACGAGACCTGGTTGAGCTGCTCTAGAGAAGGCAACGAGGGCTATCACTATGTCGGAGACACGCTAGCTTTCCCAAAAGCAGATGAACTTAGAGTGGTTACAATCATCCGTGTCTAAATCACACTTAAATTGATTTGATTTTGGTAAGGGGCGTGACATTTCCGACCAGGCGCCGAGTGCTGCCAATCACAACACACACTGACCCAGCTAACCAATCACAACACACACTGGCCCAGCTACCCAATCACAACACACACTGGGCCAGCTAACCAAACACAACACACACACTGGCCCAGCTACCCAATCACAACACACACTGGGCCAGCTAACCAAACACAACACACACACTGGCCCAGCTACCCAATCACAACACACACTGGGCCAGCTAACCAAACACAACACACACACTGGCCCAGCTACCCAATCACAACACACACTGGGCCAGCTAACCAAACACAACACACACACTGGCCCAGCTACCCAATCACAACACACACTGGGCCAGCTAACCAAACACAACACACACACACACACTGGCCCAGCTAACCAATCACAGCACACACTGACCCAGCTAACCAATCACTGCACACACTGGCCCAGCTAACCAATCACAGCACACACTGACCCAGCTAACCAATCACTGCACACACTGGCCCAGCTAACCAATCACAGCACACACTGACCCAGCTAACCAATCACTGCACACACTGGCCCAGCTAACCAATCACAACACACACTGACCCAGCTAACCAATCACAGCACACACTGGCCCAGCTAACCAATCACAGCACACACTGGCCCAGCTAACCAATCACAACACACACTGGCCCAGCTAACCAATCACAACACACACTGGCCCAGCTAACCAAACACAACACACACACTGGCCCAGCTAACCAATCACAACACATTTCGTATTTCAGAAGGCGGGCCTTCATTTGATACAGGAAGTAAAATATGTGAAAAATAATGTGTTTTTCGAACAACCTAGTATGAGAGCCTGTACACCCCCAAAACAAAATCAAACCTTTGTAAAAGAGCATAATAGGACCCCTTTAAGTTGTTTGAATGAAAAACTCGTGCAGCATTTCTACTGCCGTCAGTGCCATATGCTCAATGCCAGCTCTGCCCGGACTTTACAAAAACAGGTCATGGGATCACAGCCAGTCGTCTATTTCTGGCTGGAGTAGAACATTCACGAGCAATAAACACACTGAGAAAGAGCAACGCAGAGTAAAACAAAGCCAAAAATGAGCAAAAAGAAAAGCAGCGGAGACAAAAAGTAAAAACAGCAGGAAAATCTACAAGAACATGAGGTAGTTTGTAGGTTGCAGAGTGCTTGGAAAAACATGCTCTATTGGCTGCTATGAAATCCAGCATGAACCAATCATCTCGCAGACACATGCCGGTCAGCGATGGACCTGATTACATGTGCCATATGTGAGGTGTAAGACAGTCTTAAGACAGACGCCCACAGGGTCAGTGGAGACCGGTAAATCCCCTCAGTGTCTGGACATAATCTCAAGACGCTCCTCTCAGCTCCATCCAGTTAGTGGAGTGAGGGAGAGAGAGGGGGGGTTTAACACACACACACACACACACACACACACAAGCAGGTACAGAGCAGAAGATGGTGGTCTCTCTCTGAAGGCGATGGCACTGCCTAATCTCATGATTTAACCAGCCACTGATTTAGACGTTCTAATTCTATTAAAGGTCCCATATTGTCAAAACTGAAATTTCCTGGCTTTTTTCACGATAACTGAGGTCTAGGGGCTATTTAACTATTTGAATGTAATTTGGGCTCAGTCGTTGTTTAAATTCGTCTTAGGTCCCATATTGTCAAAACTGAAATTTCCTGGCTTTTTTCACTTATAACTGAGGTCTAAGTGCTATGTAACAACCATATAAGTTTCAAAACAGTCAGTCCACAGTAAAATGCACACAGCCTGCATAAAGTTGCTGTGATTTTTCACGAACCGTTGTGACTTCCGTAAAAAGTTGACGTCGGAACTACACAGTCACCACCCCGAGCACCACCCACCGTCCCACTCTTCTTTAGCCAAACCCCCAGACAACTTTGCAACTATCTAATAACCTATTTACTAACCTATCTATCTACTGATCTATCTATCTACTATTGTGTCTACCAACCTACCTGTATCTATCCATCTACCATCTTATCTACCAGCCTATCTATGACCTGTCTACCAAGCTATCTATCTACCTAACAATCGATCTACCATATTGACCTATCTACCAAACTATCAATCTAACATATTGTCTATCTACCAAACTTTCTACCCGTATCTATCATCTACCATTCTATCTACCAGCCTATCTACCTACCAACCTCTCTATCAATCTATGTATGTATGTATGTATCCATCCATCTACTGACCGATCCATTCATTCATTCATTTCTAATAACCTATTTACTAACCTATCTATCTACTGATCTATCTATCTACTATTGTGTCTACCAACCTACCTACCTGTATCTATCCATCTACCATCTTATCTACCAGCCTATGACCTGTCTACCAAGCTATCTATCTACCTAACAATCGATCTACCATATTGTCTATCTAATAACCTACCTATCTATTGACCTATCTACCAAACTATCAATCTAACATATTGTCTATCTACCAAACTTTCTACCCGTATCTATCATCTACCATTCTATCTACCAGCCTATCTACCTACCAACCTCTCTATCAATCTATGTATGTATGTATGTATCCATCCATCTACTGACCGATCCATTCATCCATCCATCCATCCATCCATCACAATACTGACAGTCTTGAGAAAAACACAAACTGAAAAAGACAATGAAAACGAAGAAGAAATTAGACAAGTAACCGGTAAACTGTTACATAAAAGACCTTGACGATAAAGTGCCACAAATGTAGATACTCTCTCACAATGAAAACAACACAGCAATCAAACATAGCAACAGGTTGAGACTACAACAACCATCGACGGTCTGTGCTGTAAGGCTCGTACCTCAGCACTGGTCTGAGGGGTGCCCACTCTTCCCCCAACCCCGTTTCCATTGGGCTCGACAGTGACGGTCCTGCCCACCTCTTCACCCACCCCTCCTCCTCCTCCATCATCACTGGTGCTCTCTCCGCTCTCCTGCATCTCCTCCAGGGCGATGGTGAACTGGGCGAGGGTCCGTACCATCTGCAGCATGCGACAGGTGTCCCTCGCCCCCCGGGTGACTGCGTATCTGACGGCACCCCCCACCCGACAGCTCGATCACCTCCACCAGGAGATACGCAGCAACAGGCTGGAGAGAGTCAGACTCCTTCCATGAGGACTAATTTGCAAAATAACATCTCGGGTTTAAATCCAAGACTTGGGCTCGACAGTGACGGTCCTGCCCACCTCTTCACCCACCCCTCCTCCTCCTCCATCATCACTGGTGCTCTCTCCGCTCTCCTGCATCTCCTCCAGGGCGATGGTGAACTGGGCGAGGGTCCGTACCATCTGCAGCATGCGACAGGTGTCCCTCGCCCCCCGGGTGACTGCGTATCTGACAGCTCGATCACCTCCACCAGGAGATACGCAGCAACAGGCTGGAGAGAGTCAGACTCCTTCCATGAGGACTAATTTGCAAAATAACATCTCGGGTTTAAATCCAAGATTTGTACTATGGATATGAAAACACCTACAAAAAACCCATGCTATATATACGTCATATACAAACACTACCATTAAAAATATTTTAATGTTTTTGAAAGTGGTCTCTTTTGGGCTCCATTTATTTGATTTAAAAAGAAATCAGTGAAGTCAGTATTATTTGTGAAATATTAAAATTTCAAATAACTGTTTCCTAATTTAATATATTTTGAAATGCAATTTATTCCTGTGATGCGCAGCTGAATTCCTCAATCTAAACCAGTAAGGCATCTTGAATCTGCAGGCAAAACCTGACCCAGGTATCTGTTTGTCGCACACCTCATTTATTAACTGCTCACGGTCATCAATATGAACCCTCGATTTAAATGAATTACTCCTTTTCTGCAGTCATCTCACAGTGGCCTCGCTTTATAAAACCCTTTCGGAAGCTGTTCATTGCTTTTCCACCAGCGCCATGTTGCACCTGACGTGAAAATACCTACCGTACTAATGAAAGAAGACAGCAAGGACAGATTAGCTTTACTAAATAGCAAGCAATAAATTCAAACATAATAGAGAAATGCTGTTAGCAATCAGCCCAGTCAGCTGTGACCTACATTTTGTGCTCTCAGAACAAAAATAATACAGCAATCAAATTCCCTGACTGCATTTAAGTCTCATTCTCACCTATTCAACTAAACAAAAACTCTAATAAATCACTGTAAGTGCGTCCTCAGATGGTTTTCCTATGCTGTGTGGAGCTTTACAGCAGCAAGATCGTCAAAAGTCAAACTCAATCAGGTCTAAAGTAAGACTACATGAGGACATGATGCACCTAAAATGTGCTGCGAGCTATTTTAGACTCCAACTTCCATCATTCTGCTGGAACTTTAACCACATGACCAAACCCCGCCCCCATAACATACAATATACAATAAAAATATTTGTAAAAGAATAAAATAAAATTAAGCAAAATAATTAAATAAATATACAATAAAATAAAAATGTAATTAAATAATAAATCAAATAAAATATATTTTTGTTGATGTCCATTTAAACAAAGGGGATTGTTAATACGGTTCATACTACAACAAGATTTGGGACAGTGTTTTAGTTCTATGATTTAGGCTGGTAATGCACACTCCTACTATTGGCAATTTTCCTATTTAGTTGTTTGGTAAAACATAAAAATAAATAAATAAAATAATAAATCACCTTGAATGTGAAAATTACAGACCCCAAAAGTTATCATTCTCATTTAATGTTTTTGAAAAAATTTAATAAAATACAATAAAAATAAAATGTATAAAATAGAATGAAATAAATTAAATAACATTGATTAATAATCACTCCTAAAGAGAGTTCTGAAATTCTGTTATAGAAAAATATGCAGCCTACTGAAAGGAAAGAAAATCTGTGTATAATATATGACCAGATGACAGATAAGGGCAGACCAAAGGACAACGCGAGAGAGAGAGAGAGAGGGAGAGAGAGAGAGAGAGAGAGAGAGAGATGGGTAAATAATGTGGGTGAATGCACAACGACACACAACACACTCATAATGAAGACACACTCAAGCATAAAAGCTATTAACTGCACTTCTCCTGCCCACCTGCTGTTTTGCAAAATGTCCATCAACGCACACACGCACGCACACAACACACACACACACAAAAGGTAAATGGTGGCACTTGAAGAGGTTTTGCACACAACCTGTAGCAGATTACAAACAAGTGATAATTGCAGTGATAGACTAGACTTGTACGTTTTGAAAAAAAAACTCTGTGTTTTTCTGTCAATATGGTGTGCTGTGTGTACATTAATGAGGAAAAAAAATTAACTTAAATGATTTTAGCAAATGGCTGCAATATAACAAAGAGTGAAAAATTTAAGGGGGTCTGAATACTTTCCGTACCCACTCTATATATATATATATGTGTGTGTGTGTGTGTGTGTGTGTGTGTGTGTGCACACCTCTCTGTAACCAGACAGAAGATTTGAGCAATCAAAAAAGAGGCACAGGATGATGGTTTAATTTAATTATAGGTTTGAGCAATACTAATAACTCCACTGTGAAATGCATGGGGAATCGTGGGAACATTATGTGATACAAAAAAAAAGTAATTTTATGCATGAAAAACATCTGTTTTAAATCACTGTATCTTTGCTACAACATCACTAATGGTCAATAAAGAAAGAGTGTAATTCGGGCAATGAAATGCTATGGAGCGATGAATAACAGACTGTCCTGCCAGTAGGCGGTGCCACTGAGCTCAAGCCCAAAAAGTTGCGCTTTGATGCCTATTGAAATCAACACAATAAAACATCATACCAGCAAACTTCCATTCTCACTACATCTGGACGGCAACTGTTTGCAGTGAGAAGTGACCGGCTCTGTAACTGCATTTCTAAACATCAATCTGGATGCAGGCAGAGAGACTGTGAGATTTACTGTATCACGTGGCTGAAAGGGGCTATTGTGTGTGTGTGTGTGTGTGGCAGATCAGGACGCTGCTGGGAAAATGTGTGTGCGTTGAGGAATCGGAGAGATGAGCCATACGATATCATGGGAAACAACTTCATGCTACTTGATATTTTCGGGTCATGGACGAATGACGTGTTCATGCTTTTATAGCGTCACAGAATCTCACTAACAAAAAGTACCCAACTACAAATGTATTTTGGACATAGAAGTATCATCCTTTTTAGACAAGTAGCCTACCATTGTAATACCCTGATATTATTTGGATAACTTAATACCATGCTATATGAATATGGTAACCATTCAGTAACATGGTATTAGCATGTTCCAAGGTCTGATCCAAGGTAACACCACAGTATTGTTTGTAACAGCAATGCAAATCAGGCTGGCTACTAAAATTCATGTACCATGATATTTATGATTCTTTCAAGATTACCATGGTACTGCCATGCTACATGTCCAAAATACCACAGTAGTACCATTAAAAAAAACATGGTTTTACCATGGTCAAAGAACAAAGTAGTATAGCAATATCATGGTATTCTTTCTCAAATAAATAGTACAGTACATAATGTTTTTAAAAACAAATTAATAGAGTGTTGGAAAGTAACTAGATACATGCAACTAAATGACATGAAATTAAACTAAATTACAACTAAACTAAACAATTTAATTACTAAATGTAATTGCAATCAGTTACAGTTACTGAGTAAAAATGTGTAATTAAATTACAGTAACTTATGAAAATGGTAACTATTACAAAGGGGGTTACATCTGAATATTTTTTCACACACCCACACACAGATTTAATAGATTTTTTCATAAATTGCAGTGACTGCTCTAAAATATGAGACACAAATGTTTCAGGAGTTTAGTACACAATAGAATTATTATTTGTTGACTGTTTTACTTCCTATTTGGGTTTATGTATATGCATTATTTTTTAAGATCAACAGTTTTTTAACAAGCCATTGTCAGATAACTATATTTCAAAAACAGTATCATAGCTACTAAACTATTTCTTGTTATGGTTATAAATCTGTATTTAACCTCAGAATGATTTCAAAGTAAGTCTGATTTTGTGGTGGCTGTGCTTTAAGATTAAATTATTATAATCATATTTCAAGTGATGAAGGATTTCGAAAGTCTGACAGTAATTAGTGTAAAATACGACTGTAAGGTTAACGCTGCCTGGTTTACATGTTTGGAAATGATTAACAGTTGAAAACATTAGAAATGTAGAAAAGTAATCAAAATGTAATCAGTTACATTACTTTAATAAAGTAACTGAAATAGTTACACAACTTGTTACATTTTAGATAGGGTAACTTGTAATCTGTAACCTATTTTCCAAAGTAACCTTCCCAAAGACGTTAATAAAGATACAAAAATTTCTATTTCAAATAAATGCTGTACTTTTGAACTTCATATTCATCAAAGAATCTTGAAAAATAAAATATATCGCGGTTTCCACAAAAATATAAAGCAGCACAACAGTTTTCAAATTGTAATATTATTAATTGGAATTAATTGTACTATTTTTACTGTCATTTTTATCCAATAAATGCAACCTAAAGTAACGCAAGTACCATGATAATTCTATATAATACCATCTCTTAGAAAAATTTTATCAGATAGCAATACATGGTACAGAAATGAACACCAGCAGTGTTTCTACAACATCCAAAATAGATTTTAAATGCAAAAGTCGCTGGAAAACATCACAAACACTTGGATTGGATGTTTTGTAGAGGTTCATATCATCTCTCTGAACACACATGAAACAAACGAGTGAAGTACAGACATTAAAAACAACATGCTCCATTCTGTCAGGCTTCACTTCATTTCATTTCTTTTTCTATATTAACTCGACCCATCTGGGTTAGAGTGAGCAGAAACCACAGCGCGGATCAAAAGTCTGATTTTAAAACATGACTATTGAAATTAATGGGGAATATTATGACAGACGCAACCAAATAGGGACAAATACAAGTACAATCCCTATTAAAATAAGCTTTAACAATTCCCCATTCACTTTGTTCTACGTAAGCAAGAAATGCATACAGGTTTGGAATTACATAGGGATGGGTAAATGATGACAGGATGTTTATTTTGGGGTGAAATATTCATGCATATTCCAAACAAACTCAGAAAACACTAAACTTGGCTGCCGACTACAATGAACTGGCATTAAAATCAGAGCCAGACTATAAAGACAAACTACACCAAAGATTCAAACCGCCCTCTTT